GACGGACACAACCACCACATCATTGGTGGCCAAAGCGCTCCCGTTATAAAAGTCTTGAAAAATTGATCCTATATTAAGACTCCCTCCGTGTATCCAAAACATCACTGGCTTTAATGCTGTGGTATTTGTTGTCCATATGTTAAGCACCAGACAGTCCTCACTGACGGTTGTGCCCGGGATTGGTAACCATTGAATACATGAGTGTTTGGGTTGTGTCGCATCAATTATTTCCTAATATATTTGTTTTAATAATGTTTTTTGAGGCCAAATAAACAAAAATAATTATTATTTAAAATCCTAATAATGATATCCATAATAAATAAAGACTTTACTTACAGCAAATGGTTTAGAAATGGGTTCGGGTTTAGCGAACCTAAGTTTGCCGACCGGGGGTTCGGCGTAAGGAATGCCCAGAAATTGGTCCACATTTGTGTCCAACACATGTAGTGTCCGACCCCTCACTACCCCTATAGTGGTGTTCACATCAATGCAGTGAACATTATTAAATGCAAAATATAATGTAATTATTGTAATAACGTTGATCATAATGTTTATTAGTTAGTTATTTAGTAAATTATATTTAATAAATTACATATATAAATAATAGCTTTACAATGATAGTATTTATATATCTTAGTCAATAACTCTAATTACATAAATTATTATTATCAACAAGGATGTGTATTTATCATTCTTAAGTGGGATATCTTATGGTGAAATAAAGTCTGTTAATTATGATATGATAACATTTTGCTGACAAAACAAATTGTACAAGGTTGATAAAATACCCGTTGCAACAATAATCAATATACTTGTGCCCTACAGTATACAATGTACATTATTTAATACACAATGTCAAAAACCCGATATAAAGAGTACATTGGGAACTCACTTGCACTACTATTAAAGTTTGTTAATAAATTATCTAGATAACAAATATTTTTATAATTGTTAAAACTGTAATATTTAATTAAAATGTACATAGTTTGAATGTTAAAGTTTACATTATTTAATATATTTTGTGATTTAATGCAAGATATTGAATATACTGTAGTTTACATTGTTAAGTTCTTAAAAAATATATTTACATTTTTACGTTGCCATATAAGAATGTTACCATGAATCATTTTATTAGTGTAATTGCACCAACTGGACTATTAAATTCTTTAGATTAAAAATGATAATTTTTGTTGACTATTATATAATTTATCATGAACCACTTGAATTACTAATATAAAAGAATAGAGATAGTTTTTTTTTCTGATAAAGAAGGTTGTTTTTCTATTTAATTTGTACTTTTTTAGATATTATTCTTTGGTTTTATAATAGTTAATGATATAATTTATAATATTTTGAGTTTTTAGATAATAGTTTTATGGTAGTTTAAATGTAATGTATGAAAATAAAGTATATAAATCTAGATCTAGATTAAAGTGGATCTAACACTTTGAATGCCACTTAACACTTTTATTGATTACAACGTAACAAATTGCACTATGATTGATTTGTAATACTATTAAGACAAATAATCAACATTTAGAAAACCACTTAACATTGTGCGATTATATCAGATTACATATGAGGTTTTAATGCAATATGAATTGTTGTTCAATATAACGGTCAATATAATATGTTATAATAATTATTATTTTGATGAAATAACTGTAAGCGCTGTATTTATTTTTAATTTATTGTAAAACTGAATAGTTACCTATCTTTAAAATTGTAAAGTAGATTGTATACTATGTTAATATATTTTTCAATTTGCTTTTCATCTAAATTCTTTTCGATTTTCTACTTATAATAATTAAAATTAGATTGTTGTTTAACTTATTTATATTAACAATTTATATTTTTTGATATTTAACAAGTCCAAAATACAATTCATTAAAAATTTTTAATAAAAATATGCTTATTAAAATATAAACAGTTTAGTAAAAATAGAATCATATTAATTTAATTTAATCAAAAAAGACGTTATTTTTTTAAAATTCTTATTTATCATGGTAATTAATGTTTTAAATTTTATTATAAATAATAGTCGGCCCACACGCCATCACAAGTTTCATGAAACGGGTCTTTCAGTACTAGCCGTAAGTCCTTTGGGTCCAAACCGTGGACTTTCGGCGCACCGCTCGGGTCATCGTTCAACAGTTGCGGCCAATCAGAGTCCATATGACTAAAGTAATTATCAGTATTAACAAAAATCAAATCTGATTAAGTAAACTAAATATTAAACAATATTATTTACCCATCGGTGGCAAACTTTGTCCACATTTTTATCACAACATTACTGTAATAGATATCTTCGGGGGTGTAATCATTGGGATGAATGAGTGGTAAACCAAACACAAAGGGCACATCCATACCGTGACAAATGCCCATGGTCTTTACATCGCAAGCCATTTGTTTACCAAAATTATTACTCGCGTACAACAACTCGTAAAAGTAAACCCTTTGCGACTCTTTGACAGTTTGTGCGAACCGTTTGGCGAACAGATATGTCGGACATATGAGTATTATATCGCCTATTACTGCGCCTAAAGCCGTCCGTAAGGCCGCCGGATCGCTAGTGTTGACACCTTTCAGGTAATGTTCCGTCACTTTTGGTATATTTATGTTGTGAAAACCCAAAGAATCGATGGCTTTTACGCCGTTGTGAAAGTCGGTGAGCGTCATGTGCTCCGGATGGGCGACCAGTATAGGAACAAAGCCTATGCCCTCGTTTTGGGTGATGCCAGCGATTAAGTCAATATCTGATTAAAGTTAATTTTATTTACACATGATCAGTAAATTATGGAAGTATATGATAATGAATTTTTAAAAATATAATGTTAATTATGGTCTCAAATTTACCTGTATTAAATTTTTTCTCATCAAATGCTTGTCGGGCAGATATGGGCAAAAACTCAGTGCCTAATACAGGGAAAGTAAACATATTGGTCGCATATTTGAGTATATCTTTGGCGTCCGCTCTTCGCAAACATTGTATCCAATCCTCGGTTTCATTGCATTTCAATTGTTTCGCAATATTTTTGCCCTGAGATATGCCTTCAGTTTTGTTGACCAAATCCCTGTCCTTATTGAACATATGGGCGCCGCTCTCCAGTATAGCCCTCTTGAATAAACCTTTGGATAGTGGGGAGAGTATGTGTGCGGACACTGACTGACTGCCGGCGCTCTCACCAAAAATGGTGATCTGATCCCTATCTCCGCCAAATAAGTGGATGTTTTCTCTAACCTATTATTAAATCATTAATTCATATAAACTATTATTTAACAAATTTATATAAATTAAGATTAAAAAAGAGATCAATTGTTACCCATTTCAGGCCCAATAGCTGGTCATAAAAGCCGACATTTCCGGGCGCGTCCTCCCGATCCCCGTATAGGAAACCAAACGGTCCTAACCTATAGTTGACGGACACAACCACCACATCATTGGTGGCCAAAGCGCTCCCGTTATACCACTCTTGAAATATGGTGCCATATGTTAGGCCTCCGCCATGAATCCAAAACATCACTGGTTTTTTTGCCTTCACATCTGATGTCCATATGTTAAGCACCAAACAGTCTTCACTCATACCTGTGCCCGGAATGTGTGGCATTGGATTTGCATTTTGCATACACGAGTTTTTAACTTTTGTCGCATCGATTATATCCTAATGGCAATAATATTACATTACATATCTAGCAACTTTTATTATTTTTAATTAATAAAAATTTATTAAATTTTAATAATACAGTATAAGTTATACAGTATAACACTTCATTGTAATTGTTATTAATAGATAATAATGTGTGTCTATTGTATATAAATTAATTTGTTTTATTTATTTATTAAAATACTTAAAATTTGAATTTTCATACAATGTAACCAATTTAAGCATAATATGTTTTAAATGATTTGTTTTATACTTACGGGAAATGGTTTAGTTATGGGTTCGGATTTTGCGAACCTATGTTTGCCGACCGGGGGTTCGGCGTATGGAATGCCCACAAACTGATCCACATTTGTGTCCAACACATGTAGTGTCCGACCCCTCACTACTCCTATACTCGTCGACACATCAATACAGTTCACAACATTTAATGTAAAATATAAAATAATTATTGTAATAATGTTATAATAATAAGTCATGATGTTTTAGTATTATAGCACAATTTTTTTAAACAAATATCTATTAATAATATTAGCTGACATTTGAACAATATGACTTACAGTATATATACTTTAGCTTATTATTTAGTACAGTAAGATAACATTATCTACTTATTACTTTATAAATTTGTTTTTTAGAAAATACATCTGTATTAGCAAAATGTCAAAGATGAAAATGTTGTTATTTGTATATTTTCTGTTCTACTTAAAATTTATCAAAATAGCATTGTTGGATTTATTAAATTAAAGCAATGACAATAAGAGTTCTGATATAAATCTACATCAAACTAACTTAATCAATGATTTAAACATTGTATTGTATATAAAATTTTATTTAAAAATATATGTAATTTTTTACCATAGTGTAAGTGCAATGTAAAAGATTCTATTGTACTAAAAGTCAGCAAAATATTATCAGTTTATGTATTAGGACTTAAATAGTACAGTTGGTTTGATTGTATTTTTAAAAAAGTTTAATTAATTTCGACATACCTTGAAAAGAACAATTACACTATGGTAAAAAAGTATAGAGATAAGTGAACTAAACTAAATAAACTAAAGTTTAGTCTACAAAGTTGATTAACTAATAAAATGAATTAAGAACATTGATTATTTATACAAAATACCTTAATATTTAATATACAAAAATTCATAAGGTGTACATTACTAGTCAATTATCTTGTTAGCTGTTTGTAATTATTGTATAAAAGTATAATCATCATTTATTTAGGATACATATTCAGTAAAACTAATATTTAATTAAAAATTAGGGAAACCATTCTATCAGTAATTTAGTACCATGTCTAGAAATGTAGTTATCTAGGCAAGATTGACAAAAAATATTCTATTTAATTAATGTTAAACTCGTAAAATAGTTATTATTGTATTGAACTTAAAAAATGCAACTTTCTTATTCACGGTTTCCCTATTAATGGTTTAGTTTTTATTTGAAATTATTTTATTTAAATTAAAATTTCTAATTAAACTTTTATATTTAAATGGCATGTTTATTACAATATAATCACTTTATTGAAGTAGAATCGCAGTAATATATTAATAAAGATTCTTACTATTAAAGGTAATTATAATAATTAATGTTAGTTTTATTATAGGAAGTAGTCGGCCCACACGCCATCACAAGTTTCATGAAACGGATCACTCAGTACTAGCCGTAAGTCCTTTGGGTCCAAACCGTGGACTTTGGGCGCATCAATCGGGTCATTGTTTAACAATTGCGGCCAATCAGAGTCCATATGACTAAAATGATCATAAATATTAACAAAAATCAATTTTGTTTAAATATAGATTTAAAAATATGATTTACCCATGAGTGGCAAACTGTATCCACATTTTCATTATCACATTACTGTAAGCGATATCTTCCTGACTGTAATCATTGGGATAAATGAATGGTAAACCAAACACAAAGGCAACATCAACGCCGTGACAAATGCCCATGGTCGACGTACAACTGAGCATTTTGGCAAAATATTCAGCTCGGTACAACAACTCGTAAAAGTAAACCCTTTGCGACTCTTTGACAGTTTGTGCGAACCGTTTGGCGAACAGATATGTCGGACAACCGAGTATTAGGTCACCTATTAGTGAGCCTAAGGCCGTGCGAAGTGCCAGACTATCGCTAGTGTTGACAACTTTCAGATAATGTTCCGCCACTTTCTGTACGTTCACGTTGTGATAGCCAATTAAGTCCATTGCTATTACACCTGTGTAAAAGTCGGTAAGTGTCATATGTGTGGGATCTTTGACCACGTAATTAATAAAGTCTGATCCTTCGTTTCGTGTTATGCCAGCAATTAAATCAATATCTATTTTTGTGATGATAAAAATGATTAAATGATCATAATTGAATATGCATTTGACTTAATATAAATAAGCACATTTAAACTTTTTACAATACCTGTATTAAACTTTTTTTCAATAAAAGCCTGTCGGCTAGAAATGGGCAGAAATTCTGTGCCAAACACCGGGTAAGCCATCACTTGGTTCTCATATTTAAGTATATCTCTGGCGTCCGCTTTTCGCAGACATTGTATCCAATCCTCGGTTTCATTGCATTTCAATTGTTTCGCTATTGCTTTGCCCTGAGATATGGCTTCAGTTTTGTTGACCACATCCCTGTACTTGTTGTACATATTGGCGCCGCTCTCCATAATAGCCCTCTTGAATAGGCCTTTGGATAGCGGAGAGAGTATGTGTGCGGACACCGACCAACTGCCGGCGCTTTGACCAAAAATAGTGATCCGATCCTTATCTCCGCCAAATGAGTGGATGTTTTCTCTAACCTATTATTGTATGAGTAATAAATTAAAATGTTAATAATTTATATAATATGTTATTAAAAATAAAAACTATAATTAATTAATACCCATTTGAGAGCCAATAACTGGTCATAAAAGCCGACATTTCCGGGCGCGTCCTCCCGATCCCACACATATGACACTTACCGACTTTTACACAGGTGTAATAG